GATTGTAAGATGGAAAAGCAGCATCAATAAGAATAGAGACTATTTCAATTGATAAATGTTTTGTTTGATATATAAGTTGTTTGGGTGTTTTCATCTAACAAAAGCAACATTAATTTCTTTATGAACTAATATATATATATACATATTTGTGCATCTGTATGTACAACATTTACCTCATTTACTTTAATGTCAACTTATAATCAGAGGAAAACTAAAAATTAGCCTGGTAATGAGTATAGCTAATTAAGTACACTTTTTTTTATGTTCTTACTCATAAAGATTAGAATGCATTGTTTCAGCAGTTGGATATCCTTATTGTTATCAGTATTTTTGGCTTTATTAATATATTTTAAAAATCTGTTCTTACTGGAGAATTCAAATGTTTCACAACTGTCTACCCACAGTACTTTTAGTGACTTTCTCTAGGTTAAACTTACCCCATCCCATAGCCACAATCTTGAGTTCAAGATGATGGATAGTTTGCAAGTTTACAAACTCTACATAAACTGTAAGAACTACACACAACAGTGTACAAAAGGCACCCAAGAGCAAAAAGGCCAACAATGAAACAAGATGGGGGTAGTACTCCTAAAGGAAAGAAATAAGTTTTTAGTTTAAAATCTTATAAGTACTTAAACCTGACTTCCAGTAGTCAGGATAGTAAACATATTAGCCAGAGGTTCTAAGTAATTATAATTTTGAAGCCCTTTTTTTTTCATATTTAGTAATCCCATTGTATAATTGAATGGAAATGAATTTTGTCAAGTTTTTGGAATGTTAACATTTTTGTTCCCTGAAAATTTATTGCAGATAGATACTTCTTTGCACCACTAAGAACTATTACCTGTCATGCAACTACCATAGAATTTCCTCTGCATGTCACAAGCCTTGAACAAATTCCCACCTATATATGCTTCCACGTGTATTGCATTAGTCTATGACATAATAATCATAGTGCTGTAGTCCTCCATCAAAAGGAGGGTGACACAACCTCCAGGAGCAGTAGTCTCTGTGAACAATAGAAAACTGCAGGCAAACAGTGTAAGCATGGGATTCCAAGAAGTCAGGAACACCCCTAAAGACAGGTCTGTACGAAATAGGTGAAATGAAGGTCCTGGACATAAGTGGGAGGGATGTAGAATTTGACTGAGGAGATAAAAAAAAAAAAAAGATGCCAGGTTAAAATAAAGAGAGGAGAGGACATAATAGAAACCAAAGTTGTAAACAAAGAAAGATCCCCCACCAATATTATTGGAGTTAATAATGGCTGGAGACGGCTTAAATGGGTAATGAAGAGCTTCAGTGAGGAGTAGAGAGAGAGAGAGAATAAAGGAGTATGGTAAATATAGACGAAAGTGAGCAGATAGCTAAAAAAAAGACAAAGAAGGAGAGAGAGGAGCACCTCAAGCCGAGAGAAAAGACACAAGAAATTGTGGATCAAGAAATATAAAAGGGCCATGACCCACGGCCATCCACTGAGGTAAGTAGGACAAGAAAGATGTGGGACAATGGGGAGTTTGAACAGAAGGAGGTGTAAGAAGTAAAACAACCAAAGAAACATTAATATATATGGGTAAAAGAGAATATCACATACATGATTCATGAGTGTAGCAAGGAGAAAAAGAGAAAGTACATGTTCCTCATCAGGGAGAGAAGAGCCAGAAACAAATACCACAGTTGGAAGATTTGATCAAAATCGTCCACAGGTTAGGCAGGCTCCACAGAAAGCAAGGAAAGAAAATGACTAGGGACCTGAACTGAAAAAGAAATAGGCAGAAGGGAACCAAACACCTGATGCATAAAAGTGGGAACATCCTCAGTTAACTTGTTGGTACACCATGAGTCATCTCAGCTCAATAAGGTTATGGAAGCTAAGTTATCCACAACATTGAAAGTAACTAATCACAGAGTGAAATCCAAGACCTGTCACATACAGGTGTGTGTGCTCAACTAAGTGAACTAAAAGGATAACATCTGAATATCAGGTGCATGAACAGATAAAGTGCCTCCAGTTACTATCAAGTCAGGTGGAGAAAATGTCTGGGCTTTGGAACTTTTATATATATATATATATATATATATATATATTCATATAACTTGGCATAAGCTGTGGAAAGTAGCCAAAAGCAGAAATATGGTGGCTAGAAAAAATGAAGTTGCAATCAGGTGGATGAAACAAAAGTGCAACAAGGACAAAAGTAATGTAACACTAAAGAAAGAAAGACAGTTGATTAAAGCAATTAAAAACTCAAAAAAAGCACAGAAAAAACACATCTGAACACAGGCGGTGCTGAGGAAAGAATGAGTCTATGATCATGTGCTAGTGGTCATGGGGATTACTGTGCATGAAGGTCATGTCACCCTCCTATTGATGGAAGGCTACAGCATTATGATGATTATGTCATAGGCTGGCACAATACCCATAGATATGTGTAGGGGTTGGAGTTTGTTCAGTGGTCATGGGGATTACTGTGCATGAAGGTCATGTCACCCTCCTATTGATGGAAGGCTACAGCATTATGATGATTATGTCATAGGCTGGCACAATACCCATAGATATGTGTAGGGGTTGGAGTTTGTTCAAGGCTTGTGGTATGCACAAGAAATTCCATAGCAGTTGCACATGAGGTAATAGCTCTTAGTGGTTCAGAGAGGTAAATAGTATTTCTGAATTTCAAGAATAGGCTAGTTACATCAAAATATTCTATGATGGAAACACGGAAAAAGTGTATATAATCTAGGGTGTTGATATAAAATGAGAGTGGACGCATGTAAATAAAATCAACTTTTTCAAGCTTGGGAATTGGTGTATGCATTATTATTTTATTCAATTAAAAGATGGCTACTTACCAAATGCAAATCATCAGACATGTTAATAGCAAATTTAAGATATATGCTGTCAGGCATGGGGGAGGTATGATATTGAAAGTGTTTAGTCTGGAAGATAGTTAAATCACATATGTATGCTTAGTTGCAAAGTATCATAAGTGTTAGCTTTGAGGGTGGCTACATACAAGTTGGGTAAAGTCATGAGGCTTGAAGATGTACATGCATGGATAAAAAAGGTTTATTATAAGGATACATAAGAGGCACATATAAAATATTTTTCTCAAACTTGAAGGTGTACCAACACACAATATTCCTGTTTTTTGGACTTCTTAGTGAGAAGTAATGATTCAGTACATGTCTTCCAAGTAAATAAAAAAATAAATCATAAATTTTATACCCAGAGAAGTTGGCTTTAAATCACTTCAGTCTCAGAGTTTTTTGTTATCTTTAATACAACATTTTATTGACATAATGGAATGACATAATCAGACTTCCCATATTCAGTTTATTCAAGTTTTATTATAAGCCAAAGAAACGACAAAAATACAAAACAGCATTGGAATTGTGGTGTTATGAATATTTTACAAACTTTACCTGTGACAGAGATCCACACAAGTTTCTAAGAAATATTATATAAAATCCAATCACTGTGGATGTAAACTGTATTTTAAGTGCAGTAATAGCACCACTGATATTCCTAGAAAGAAATAGAAAAGTTATTAGTAAAAGTATGTCAACAACAGATCATTTATTTACCCAAAATAATGTGAAACACACTAAGTTTTAATTCACTTGACACTTCCAGAAAATAGGCCGATCTGTAAGAACATGCAATTTAATATTTTTTCTAGGTGGTAATAAGAATAATTTGGGTTTTTTGTATGAAATGTGCTGTAACACCAACAGATAATAAAATTAGCTGCAACACAGCACGTTCATGAAACGTTATACAGAGAATAATTTTGAAAATCAACAGCAAAGGGTAAAAATGACACAAGTAAAACAAAAATTCTTTATTCATATACACAGTTTTGTTTTTCTTACTGATTGGCTAGTGATTTTTTTTATGACTTACTACTTATAATTTCTTCAAATATCAAAAACTGCATTTCCTTAAATTTCTTTCTAATACGTACATTTGGGTGTAAAAATATTTGAACAAAATATGGAATTCACTTTGGACAACAGTATAATGGTAACAGAAAATACTTATACAGGTAGACGACCCCAAATCTGGCAACCTGAAAACTGGAATGTTCTAGAAACTGGCTATTCTGGTGAACACTCCATTAGGTTGGAGAAATTCCTTATATCTGGGTCTTTTCTAATGCACACTTCTGACTTGAAATTACTGGAAACTGCACTAAAAATTACTATACAAATAGGTAAACTCAAAGAAGTAAGTAATAATTTCTTTTAGGCTTAATTTGAGATTAATTACCAGAATAGCCACTTTGTTTGGGGGGCATGACGAGTCAATGCAGTATCGGTTCAAACCTGCCCTTTGGTTATGCAGCCCTCTCTCTGGGTTAATTTGAATTTTTACCTCTTTTGTGCATCATGAAAATTTCCAAAAGGCAATTAAATACAACCTTCATGTATTTCATACTTTATTTATATCATTTTTACGTGTCAGGCCAAAACGACTCAAAAACCAGAAAATTCCAAAATCCGGCATGGCTCTGGTCCCAAGCATTCCGGATTTGGGATCGGGTACCTGTAATAAATTATCAATCATACTCATGAAAGTCCACAAATAATTTGCAAAATTGCTTTTAATTAAAGAAATTATTCAAACCTTGCTTGTTTCTAATAGTTCTCATGCCATCTGTTCAGATAACAAATATTCTATTTATGTATATTATGAGATAGCAAGTTCTACTTTTATTTTGTTATAGTTTTGCTTTCTGTTAATTTATTATTCCTTCTATCACTTAGATGAACTACAAATTTTGAGTTATATTTAAGCACTAATTCACCTTCTAGCTGGAACACATTGAATTTGAATATGTTTGTATTATGAACCTGACACAAGTTTCCCTTAGCAGTAACATATAGATATTAATGTTATGAAACATTACATAAATTAGCTAATCACATGAGATGTAACCTCATTGTCTAACCATTAAATAAGAACCCTTCCTTGATCTTAAAATAGTTAGTTTACAAGATACAGTAAGAACGAATTATTGATGTTTGTTGCTCAGTATTGCTATTGATCTGGAAGTGGTATAATTTTGGAAAAATGTGTTTTTTTTCAGAATAAAGGTTTTTCTTCTTCTGGTTCTTTTTACTAAATAGTGGATATTTATGTTGTATTGTTTATGACAACTTGTATCAAGTCCTAGCCAGGCATGGAATTACTAAATGTGTTTTTGTAAGTGATATAATTTGTATTCCAATTGTTGGAAAGTTTTATTTTAGATTTCTGTTGTTGTTACAGTTTAATAAATTGTTTTTGTTCAACCCTGGTTGCAGCAGCATTTTGTTTTAGCTACAACATGTATATATGCAAAAAAATACACAAGCTTTAACAAGTATTTTTCAAAATACTACAAACATAAAAACAGAGTGCTTATCTCCAGCATAAAATAGGTATAAAAAAGTTCTTACTCAGGTACAAAAAATATTTTCTTCTTAAATAATACAAGGATAAAAAGAGAGTGCTTACTTCCAGTATAATACATGCATAAAAAAATCCTCATCTACAAAATAATGAATTGCAAAGTGAACACTTATCTTCAACATAACAAAAGTATAAAAAAGTGTTTACATCCAATAAAACATAAGTACAAATCACATTTACCTCCAAGATAATACAAGTACTAAAAGAGTGAGGCACAAAAATGAGATACAGATTACACAACCAGTTCCAGTTACTGTTTTAAATCCTTGTTGAATGTCTTCTTTAGCCTAAAAAACCAACATGATACATTTGAATGTGATAGATAAACAAAACAAATACAAAATCATAAGAACCAGAAGCTTAATTTTAATTTAAATATTTACTTTTTAAAGGTTTACATATTTTACAGCACCTAAACTAAAGGCACAG